AAAAAAAAAAAAGCACACAAATTTGGAGATCTAGTAATTAAATATCACAAAATTTATTTTTAGACTTGTGTCCTGACCCAAAGTGAGTGTGGATGACAATTTTCCATATAATTTGTACCAAGAGATGATTCATCTGGGCAGTCTGCACCCTCCCAGTAAATGCAGAAGCCAAACATATCCAGGAGGATTCTCAATCTTGATTTAATATCATCCTCTTTTGGCCTGGAATAATTTTAAGAGATTGCAGATTTATTTATATTTTCAAATGATCTAAATAAATCAACATGTTGACTTGAAATTATTTCGTGACATTCTGCTAACCAAATTCCATTTTTTTTTTTTTAATGACTGGGTGTGATTTACCTCCTTGGTAGCTCCCAAACCAGTTTAAATATTAATCTATGAATGAAATAATGAATTTGAAGATCTCAGTGTCCTGTAAACATAAGTTATTTTCATCAGCCTTTTCATTACTATTTTTTTTCTGCTACCAGATTTGTTCTTTAACCACATGTGGCATTTTTATCATAATATTTTATTTTTCCTGAGAAATCGTAAAGAAGCACCTCAACCATTATTTCTTTTAGGAGCATATTTACAAACTGATGAAAAGTGATTCATACCCACGTTTTATAAGATCCAGTGCCTATCAGGAACTTCTACAGGCAAAGAAAAAGGTATTGGTTCTTTGTGACCTTTTTTGACCTAGTTCTTTGTTATAATTATTTGGAGCAATTACCTCTGCTGAGCCCAGGGTATTGGACAAATGGTAAGTGAACATACTTCAAAACCTTCCCCCAAACCTTTGCACTTTATAAGGGCCATTTAAGTTGGTTTTGTTTCTGTTTGTGGATTGCTTAATCGTATTATTTTTCGTTTGTTTGTTTCTGCAGATGTTTATGCTTTACAAAATTTATTAGAGGTTGCTTTCATGTTTCATGTTAGTCTTCTGTATGCCGAGTTTGAGGAAATCAAAAATTACAATAAAGAAAAAAAAAAGGAATAATGTCATTTAAGTCAGAAACTTGAAGATGGTTTTCTTTGACTAGTAAGTTAGAATGTATGTTTAGGACCACCCGGCCTCATAAGTAAAAATAGACTCACTTTTTAAAATGATAGCTGCCAAAATGTAGTAATGTTTGCTTCTGAATATTTTCATTTGGCATTTATTCTGAATCATTTGCTGTTTCTAAAGTGAATCTCACACATCTAAGATGGTAGCCAAACACATTTTGGAAGAGTTATAGTAGACCTTGTTATTCAATTAATGTTTATAATCAAAGTCTCACTGTCTATAACTCCTTATGTAACCAGTATAAGAGACTATGGAAAATATAGACATAAACATCACAATCATTCATTATTTTTTAATGCTAAAGAAGTCTATAGCTTCTTGAAATTCTGAGATTAAATTATAATTTTGGATAATTCATGATCATCATTTAGATTCATGAAATTCTTTAAAACCCATTGCCTTTGCAACTGGAAATAGGTACTGTGTAGTTGCACTGTCCAGTATAGCAGCCACTAGCCACATGGGGCTATATAAATTTTAATTTTAATGAATTAAAATTATGCACTATTCTACCCAAATTTCAAGTGCCCAATAACCACAGCTAGAGGCTTCTGTATTCGACAGCATAGAATGAAATTTCCATCCTTTCAGAAAGTTCCATTAGACAGCAATGCTCTACAGAATTAATGATGTTATCAATAGAAATTTAGCCCTGATAGAAAATTATGATGTAATTATGAAGATACTAGATTTTTAAATAGTTAGGCTTTGCAAATATCATCATCAAAGCTTCACATATGGACTTCATTTCAGCTTAATTTGATTTTGCTTGAAATCCCACCATTTTGCTTGCACAAGAAGAGGTTTTGGTGTTAAAAATAAAAGCACTGATGAAAACAGAGCCCATGTCCTATGACAAGAGGCTTTGCTGCCAGCTCTGCTACCTTCGCGATGTAGAATGTGGATTTGGTGTTGCCTCATTTCATCATCCTGTCTTTTTCTGCTCTATTTTCCTTGCTTTCTTTTCTTTTCTTTCTTTCTTTTTTTTTTTTT